CCGCCACCTTGGGTGTACGTGGTTGGCGCCTTAGCCACTTGAGCCACAGGCGCCGAGCCACAAAGCAGTATTATTAAAAACGCTACCTTTAGAGTTAAAGGCAAAAAAGTCATGGATATACAATTCAGCATATAACTGCATAAAGTTTTATTAAATATAGAAGTAACACCTAAAATACTCTCAATTTCATGTTCATAACTTATCACTATTATTTTATATTTATTTATTTATTTAATTTTGAGACAATCTCATTATGTCACCCTCATAGCAACCTCCAACTCCAGTGTTGAAGTGCTGTCTCAGCCTCCCAAGTAGCTGGGATTACAGGTGGCTGCCACAATGCTTGGCTATTTTTTGGTTGCAGTTGTCATGTCATTGTTGTTTACCGGCCCTGGGCTGGGCTTGAACCTGCCAGCCTCCATGTATGTGGTCAGCGCCCTACCCACTGAGCTACAGGTGCCAAGTCCACAATTATTTTATATACCAGAGAACAAAATCAAAATCCTCTTACAATAGTCAGAAAAGACAATTTAACATCAGACTGGGCATGATGGCTCATGCCTATAATCTCAGCAGTTTGGGAGGTCAAGGTGGGAGGATCACTTGAAGCCAAGGATTTCGAGACCAACCTGAGCAACATATCAAGGATTGAACTCTGCAAAAAACAGAAAAAATTAGCTAGGATGGTGGTGTGTGCCTGCATTTCCAGTTGCTTGGGAGGCTGAGGCAGGAGGATTGCTTGACCCTGGATTCTGAGATTGCAGTAAGGTAGAATGATACTATTGAACTCTATCACGGGCAACAGAGTGACACTCTGTCTTCCCAACAACAAGAACAGCAACAAAAAAAAAAAAAAGAAAAAGAAAAAAACACTTTTCTTTTGCTGAAAGTTACATAAGAATTTTGATCATCATTTTCAAACAAATCAACTAATTCTCTTCCTCTAAAAATAATAAAAACCTAAACTTAGGGACTGACTTTTCTGAATTCTTAAATTAGTCTTACTACTAACTAGGTCTCATATTTAAGGCATTATCTCTTGAGTTTTAACCCGGCCACTTAAAGGTTGATACTTACAAAGTCGTCTTCTTCAAACTGCAACTTTTCCACCTTGTCTTCTTTCTTTTCTTCCCTAATCTCTGCAGGTGGCCTTTCCTGAAAGGAGCAGCCTTTACGAGAATGGACATTGCCATTCCAATGGCGATGGTTCCCCACACCACCTCCACTACGCTGGCTCATAGAATCATGACCTCGGGAAGAGCCATGCCAACCAGATGGGTTCCCTGGGATTCCAGCATATGCTCCCTTTGAGACACCAGAGTCCACAGAATCATGGCGGAACAGGGAGGGCTGATGCCAGGAATCTAGAATAGTAAGGAAAAGCAACACATTAGATTGTTTGCTTCCTACAATTCATAAAACATTGGGCCAGATGCCTCCTGATCTGGTTTATGGTATTGCCAAAAAGCTTTCAGGAGACTTTTTCAATAAAAAATCTACACAAAGAAATCACAAATGTATCTTTTCCTTTTTTGGCCGGGGCTGGGCTTGAACCCACCACCTCCAGCAAATGGAGCCAGCACCCTACTCCTTTGAGCTACGGGCGCCGCCCAAAATGTATTTTTTCTTTGTGAGGCAATTTCTAAATAAGTTCTTCAACTCAATAAATGATTCATGAGAATGCAAAAACGTTAGAACTACAAAGCCAAAATAGTTGGGTAATGACTACTAGAGAATCTAATTAAGAACTATATTCACAAAAGATCCTATTTCAAAATAGAGACTGCACCTTCTGCCTGGGCTTACCCTAAGTGAGTAGCTTTTTTTGGGGAAGAGTCTCACTTTGTTGCCCTTGGTAGAGTGCCGCGGCATCATAGCTCACAGCAACCTCTAACTCTTGGGCTCAAGCGATTCTCTTGCCTCAGCCTCCCAGGAAACTGAGACCACAGGTACCCACCACAACACCTGCCCATTTTTAGAGATGAGGTCTTGCTCTGGCTCAGGCTGGTCTCGAACCTGTGAGCTTAGGCAATCTACCCACCTCGGGCCTCCCAGAGTGCTAGGATTACAGGCATGAGACCAAGTGAGTAGCTTTAATAATGCCTAATTATAAAGGGTGGACACAGCTTACCTCCTATGGTTCGTAGGGATCCATTGTTAAAAAAGCCATCAGAGGAATTATGTCGACGACGGCTCACTCCAAATCTACTTTCTCCTCGGGATAGATGCTCTCCGTGTTTTTCAAAGGTGGCAGTAGGGGACTAAGAAAGTATAGAGGCAAGTAGATAAATATTAGTCTCTTTCAATAACTTAGTAGGTTTTGTATCAAGCTTTCAGAAAGCAAGCAATACGGGTGATAGAAACTCCAAGTAGGCTCGGTGCCTATAGCTCAACCGGCTAAGGCGCTAGCCACGTACATCTAAGGTGGCAGGTTCAAATCCCCAGCCCGGACCCACCAAACAACAATGACGGCTGCAACCAAAAAATAGCCGGGCGTTGTGGC